CTAGTGTGCGCAGATAGCCGAGCTCAGTCCCCAGTAGGACATAAACAAAGCACGGTGTCCCCACGCGCAGCCTGGTCCCACCTGCAGTCCCGCACTCTGCTGTAGAAGCAGGGAGAACAGCAGCCCGGTGTTACCCTAGGCTTCACAGAGAGCTCGATGCCTCTGGGCTAACTGCCGGACAAGTGGGGGTAGGGGAGAGAAATGGTTTGTACTTACTAACAAAAATTGAAGGCATCTTTGATTTCTTTTTTCAAAATATTCAAAAGGAAACTTCATGTGAACTTCAGTTGATTTGTCCCTCTTACCCTGTGTGGTCAGTAACGGGTAAAGATACATAATTCCCACCCCTAGTTTGCTTCCTTGAAATGTAAACCCAATACTTGTACTTTACTTAACTTAGGTGCTGCTCCTGCCTTCCCAGGTTAGCGCCTGGGTCTTGGCTCGTTTGAATCTGGATCACATTAAGTTCCTTGTCAACTAGTTATGAGTGTTTCAGTAATATCTGTTGCTTAATCTTAATGCTGTGAGAGTCTAGGCTCCCGAACACAAGATCTGCATCTGCGCATACAAGGAAGGCTGTGGCCTGTTTAGCTGAAGCAGCCGTTCCTTTACCTTAAAATGGATGTGCTTATTTACACAGAAATAGTGACTAAATTATGCTAGAAAAATGGAAATGTAGAACTAAGGTCAGTAAAAAGAGGGAGCTAGAAGTAGAAGTACTTAGAATCCCTCTGTCCCCTAAAGCTACAGCTGAGTTTTAGACTTGTCACTCTGCTGGTTGACCCCTAGAGGGGGACTAGGCAGCCCCACGCTGACCTACCTGGACCCTTGGGACTTGGTCTTTTCATTCATTCAGATACCCCACCCCCATGCAAGGGTATTTGGACAGACCTATTGATCTGTCCCCACAGGAGTGTGGGGTCACCAAAGGCTTATCCTTTGGTAAATAAAGAATGTCCTTTATTGCACTTGGCCCCTGAAATTATCAAGAGGAAAAATTACTAAAGCTAAAAAATACAAAGAGGGGCCATTAGAGTCTGGGGTCACTTCGGCTGCGAGGTGAGAAGGCTGAGCCTCACCTGAGACTCTTACATCCTTTCAGTTTCCGTGATTTCCTTGAAAACAGACCATGGAGACAATCAAGGGACATCTTCCCCTTCCTCTCAGAGGATACATTAGTTGGTTTTCTGTCAGCTTGAATCATCTGGGAAGGGGGAAACTTAATTGAGAAAATGCCCCAAGCAGCTAGGCCGATGTTAGTTTGACTAGAATGAACTGTGTGATTTTCAAATAACAAAAGAGAAAAACAGTTTTTTTTCTGTAGGCCTGTAAGCATGTCTGTGGGGCATCTTGATTGATTGATTGATTGATTGATTGATTGATTGGTGACTGATGTTGAAGGACGCAGCCCACTGTGGGCCATGCCATCTCTGGGCTAGAGGTCCTGGGGTGTGTAAGACAGCAGGCTGAGCAAGCCATGAGGAGCAAGCCAGGAAGCAGCATTCCACATGGCTTTTGCTTCAGTTCCTGCCTCGGGCTCCTGCCCTGACTTCGCCCTTCATTAATGGAGTGTGACCTGAGAGGTGGAAGCTGAAATAAGCCCTTTCCTCCCTTACCAAAAGTTGGTTTGGGTCATGATGTTTAATTCCAGCAATGAAAACATTACCTAGGATAGAGGATAGAGTCACTTGTTTTCCTGTCAGTTCTTCTCTGTCTCTGTTCTTCAGCTAGTGCCACACCTTGGCAAAAGGCTGGCAAAGTATTCCCCTGGGGTGGCGTGGCAGAGCTGGGGATACTGCAAAGCAAAGATAGTGGACTGTTGGGGAAGAGAGCAGAGGCTTAGAGCACACTGTTTGGGGAAGGGTGCCTAGCAGGAAGTGGATTCATGGCATCATCAGCCAGCTGAGTTAGCCAACGGGAGTGTGAGAAGACCAAGCTATGCCAGCTCCCATGCTAGGAATAATAGGTGTAAAACTGAGTAATAACTCTCATGAAATGTAAGCAGAATACCCAGCACAATTAAAGCTTTTTATTAGCCAAGCAGGGGTGGCATACACCTTTAATCCCAGCACTCAGAAGGCAGAGGCAGGCAGATCTCTGAGTTCGAGGCCAGCCTGGTCAACAGAGAGAGTTGCAGGATAGCCAAGGCTACATAGAGAAATCCTGTCTCAAAAAACAAGCAATAAAGTTTTTAATTAACATGCTGCAAAGTTGCTTTTTGTTTCAAATTCCACAGAATTTTAAAGAAGGAATTTGTGTAAAAGACAGTCAGAACAGAAAACAGTTCAGCCATCCCAGAGCCCCAACACTGGCACCCCCCATCTTGTCCCCAGTACTGCAGTTCACTCTTTTTTTTTTTTCCAGATACTAGGACTTGACAGTGGTGTTTTCCTGTTGTTTTTGTCTTTTCAAGGTCTCCCTAGATAGCCCTGATTAGCCTGGAACTCACTTGTAGACCAGGCTGGCCCTGAACCCACAACAATCTGCCTATCTCTGCCCCTGAGCGCTGGCATTAAAGGCATGGACTACCAGGTCCAGCCAAAGATAATTTTTATAGGACACTGATAAGGTCTATCCAGCATAATGCCTTTGAGATGCTAACAAATTGTTTTGTGTACTAGTGGTTTATTCCTTTTTATTCTTAACAAATATTTCATTGTATGGGTTTACTGCTATATCGCTATCTCTTACCAAAGGACATTTGAGTTGTCTCTAGGGTTTGTTTTTTTTTTTTTTATTTAAATTAACTTTAGCATAGAAATAACACGCTTTATCATGGTATTTTCATTCATATGTGTCATTGTATTTTCTTCTAATTAATTGCCCTCTCCTTATTCCTCTGATGCTTTTCAATTCAGTGCATAGTTAGTATTTGGTCATTTAATTGTCTGGATATGGGGTTGTTTACTCTCAAAGGAAAGGAAGAGGGAAAAAAGAAGAAGAAAAAGTAAAGGAAGAAGAAGAGATTCTGACAGTGCCCAAAATGGCGGAAGGTATCTCGGACAAAGAATGGTACCCTCCTCCTGACCCTGAATTCTGTGTGTATGTGTATGAGGTGACCAAATCAATACTGCCCATCGTCAACATTAAGGAACAGATTGAGGCTCTTGCCAAGTGAGTGCCTCCCCTCCCCGCCCCCGTACATTTATTTTAATTTCTGAATTTTAAAAAAGTTTTAGTGGTTTGCTTTTTTTAAAGTTAATTTAAAATAAAACCAACAAGGTAAACCGCATAGTTCACGGCGCTTGAGCCAATGACTCCGACGCAGAAGCCATGAATTATGGGTGCTCTTCATTTCTGTTAAGCTACATTTCTGTGAAATCAGAGCTGAAGGTGTGTGGAGACAAACACCTGTTGTTGTTTTTTTTTGTTTTTGTTTTTTGTTTTGTTTCCTAGCTAAGCTGTTAAGAAGCATCTTTGGTATGATCTTCGTGTTTAAGAATTAAATCATTCCTCTGGTGTATGGGGCACTCACCATTTAAAGGCATCCTATTGTGAGTTCTCTACAAACTCTCCCCTCCCCCTTCTTTTAACGCAAATAAGCATCCGTTTTTCTGATGGGTGTCTGCTAGTTTGCTCCGTCTCTGGAGTGGACTTTGGGCATTCTGAGAGCTCGCTGCTGGGCAGAGCAGAGCTCGGTGTGAGCCCCGGAAGTGCCCTGTCCGTGTTTGGGCTCCTTCCGCCTTAACATGAGGCCTGTAAGCGAGCAGGAATGACTAGAACCCGGCGGTGGGCTCCGAGCGGCGGAGCTGCTCCTCCAGCTAGAGGCAGCCTCTCCGAGAGCTCTGGCCACTCCGGCTGCTGCAGCAGTCCACAGACCGGGCAGTGCCAACTGCCAGCCTCGCAGCTGCCAGACCCTGACTTCTGTCACCCAGGGTGTTGTAAAGGATTTGGCTCTAAAGGATTTCCAGGGTCCTTAAGATTCGGGTCCTGTGAACATCTGCCCAGTTCTTCACAACACCGTGTTCCCTCGGAGGCTCTGCTCATCACTTCCACTTTTTTAAAGTAGAACTGATGCTAGATAGCAAGCAAGAGAGTGGCTGCAGAGGCCTGTCCGACCACCTGAGGGGCTGTGGAGGCAGGTGGATTTCTGGCTCTGCTCCTCCGCCCTTCCTCATGGCTTGCTTGTTTTGTTTTAAGCTTTGGAGTTTTCCCTTGCTTCTGTTTACTTGCTCTGGTGTTTTTTGTTTTGTTTTTATTGTCCTTGTGTTTGGGGGTTTTAAGACTATTCGTTATAGAACAGCCAAAGAAAGGCTAATCTTTCCTTTAAATTTTCAATTTTTCTTTTCTTCCCCCATAAGAACTAATTATGTTCTTAGTTACAGAGAATTTTTAGAGAAGTTTTTATTGACACTATCATATACATCCTATTATTTGGGGGAAAGAAAGTATTCCAATTTCATTATCTCCCACATTATCTGCTACCCTTTCAGACCTTTTTTCCTTCCTCCTCCTCTTCCACTCTTCTTTGATGTCAGTGTTCTATGATGTATTATCTTCCTTAATTAAAAAGATGAATCCTAAAGGAAAAAATACAAAATTCGCACTGGGCTACACCCATGTAATACACACTGGCATATGCCCAGTCTTTAGAAGACAGAAGCGGGATGGGCTTCATGCGGGCAACTCCAGCCTGGGTCACACGCTGAGATCTTGTCTCAAAAGAACAGGTCCTTTTTTTTTTTTTTTTTTCTTTTTTTTTTTGACACTTGAAAATGCCCGTGAATGTAATGAGAAATTTGACTGGTTTGCTCTTGCTTTTGAGTTTAAATTCCTTCTGAAGGAAGAAAATTAGTAAAAAGCCTTCACTTTCAGGTAAAACACTCAGCACTGTTCACAGTAAGATAAAACTTTAAAACTACATTTATATTTAGTGTGATAGTCATTTGGTGTTATTTATTTATTGGGATCTTAGCATTCATTTTCTTCTCAGTGTTGAATGAAATCAGCAGAATTTCAGTTTATATATGTTTGTGATTGTCTCAGTATTGTAAAACATGTTTTTTTTTTCCTGGAAGTATATTTATTTTTTAAAGTATTTTTTCAATTTATTTATTTATTTACTTACTTAGTTGCTTATACAACATCTTGCCTGCATGTATGCCTATGCACCAGAAGAGGGCACCAGATCTCACTAGATGGTTATGAGCCACCGTGTGGTTGCTGGGAATTGAACTCAGGGCCTTTGGAAGAAAGGCCAATGTTCTTAATCTCTGAGCCACTTCTCCAGCCCAGTATATTTGTTTTTTAAGTAAGCAAATAAAACCAGAGGAAATATAGCTTTTACATATAATATTGCATAAAATATCCAAAATAAATGATTAAAACTGACTTTTTTTTTTTAATCTCACTGTAATGAGCACAGATATGTGGCAGATAAAATGGGCGGTAAGATTCCAAAAGAGAAGCTATCTGATTTCAGCTGGGAACTTCATATAAGTGAATTGAAATATCAACTGAAATCCAATGTTATACCAATTGGATATATCAAGAAAGGAATCTTTTATCATCGAGCTTTGCTTTTCAAGGTATTTAAAATGTTTTATCTCATTTCCATTAGGTTAAAAAAATTGTCTTTATCTCACCTGAATGGATCAGTTGGTAACATTTAACTGGATAACATGAATCTTTGCATTTATATGCCTTTGATTTATATGAGTTTATATGTTAGCATACGCAAACACACACAGGCATATGCACCTGCATATACATTTTGCCAGGCTGCAGAAGGACATTCACTCAACTTTTATCATCTACCTCCTGTCATTCAGAGAATCCTGCAGGGTCTGGAGGTCAGTGACAGTATTGTAATGGACCGTGCAGTTAAGACTTACCTATGTCCCCGCCCGCGGTCATATCAGAGAAGGGTTCAGAGACAGGAATGACACACAGCCAAATCTGTTAGAGACCACGCAAGGTTCCCTCAGGTGTCAGGCGTGGTGGGGCTCACACACCCATTATTCCAGTTCCTGGAAGGCTGAGGTGGGAATATTTTCTAGTTTCAGGCTGCCGGGGGCAGAGCAAGACTCTGCCCTTTAAAGACAAGGCTGGAGCGGAAAGCCACCTGTGCGCTCTCCTTTAAAACTCTGCTTTATTTGGGTGTTTAGACTTCTCCCTCCCTTCCACCAACCCCCAACCTTAGGTAGGAGAGAGGGAAGGTTAGTGGGGAGAAGGGCCCAGATCCCTTTACTTCTCCCAGGTAGTTAGGACCAAGGGGTTCTTTTAGGGCTCCATACTAGTGTCCATCAACCGCAGACTCAGCTGAAGTGTTTCTCTCCATCTGTCTGCTCCAAACCACCACACCATTTCTGTTCTCTCCAAACTGCTCCACTCTGCACACCAACACCAAACTCCACTAAACACCATATAGCCTCTTTCTCGTCCTCACATTTGTACTCCGAGTCCTAGACCTCACTGCCCCCTCCATATGGCAGGTGGCAAAGATCATGCCCCACATGTGACAGTTATCATAACAGGTGTGGAAAAACTATGGCCCAACTAAAATCCCACACTCAGGATTTAAAAAAAAAATTATTTACATAATATACAAAGAAACCAAAACTTCCATTATATAAGTTTCAGAGCCAGAAATGTAGATCAGCTGATAAAGGCACTTCCCCACCAAAGCAGATGACCTGAGGTTGGTTCTCAGGATCCACAAAGAGAAAAAAAATACATGTGTATAAATAAATAAACATCTACACATAAAACAACCCTGGTATGAGAATTAGCTTCCATTTAAGAAATGCAAAGGATATCATTTAGATGGAAAAGCAGGAGAAGGAGGGAGAGGAAGAGAAAGAGAGAGTAGATGCATTTCGAAGGCCTGATATGGGGCACCAGAGGAGGCTGCCCTTCACCCTAAAATTTGAGTAGCCACTGAAAGTTTTGTGTGTTTGTGTGTGTGTGTGTGTGTGTGATGTGATGTGATATAATTCTGAAAGACCATTCAGGCTGCAGAAGGGGGAACAAGTTAGAACAGACACAGAACTAAAGACTAAACTAAAGGATGAGCCTTTAGAAGGTGGCAGGTCAACAAGTGATCCTTACTGAGGGTGCTCCATGATCCTTACTGAGGGTGCTCCACGTGGAAGGAGAATGAAGCAGAGATTTCACCCAAAAGTTGTTGGTATTTGCCTGAAGATGGTGGGGAGAATTCCCGGGACATGAGGAATGACCTTCAGGTTCTGGACAGGGCAAGCAGAGAAGATGGCACCATTCACTGAGAAGTGAGGCTTAAGAGAGTGTGGCCTTTTGATCCATTGTGTAGGAACTCAGAAAACATTTTCCAAGCGTACAGACTGAAAGATTAAATCCCTTTCATCTTCCAAGTACTTACAAACTTCTGTAATAGTTACTTTTCTCCTTTTTGTCACCAACCAATCATCTGACAAGAAGCAGTTTAAGGGAAGAAAGGTTAGAGAGTTCAGTCTACCAGGGCCTGGGGAGGTATGAGAGCCACATCTGGGAACACTCCACCGCCGTCAAGGAGCAGAGAGAGAAATGCTGGCATGCAGTTCTTCTCTTTCCTTTATGTAGTCTGGACCCTCAGCCCATGGGATGGTGCTTCCCGCATTCAGAGGGTCCCCGCTCCTCCCTCTGCAGTTAAACTTTTCTTATAAATACTCTGTGGCGTGTCTACTAGGTGATTCTAAAGCCCTTCAAGTCGATGGGGAACTACTATCAATCTACCACATGTCAATTTGCTAACTATAGCCATCATTTTAAGCAAAACAATTCCATGTCTCATTCTTGAAAGCCTTGCAGGCATCTTGTAATACAAACTGCACTTAGTTATCTGTAAGAATTTCCCAGATCCTAACACTCCTACCATTGTACAAAAACCCACAGTCCAAAGTCTACTCTAAGAGTCAAAGCAAAATCCTAACTATGATTCCTGTACAAACATTTTTTCAGGTTACATAATTCTGACAATAATGTCACAGAATAAACATTGCCATTCTAAAAGGAGGGAACAGGAACACAGTAAGAAAATATTGGATCAAAGTAAGATCAAAACTCAACAGAAAGCTGAGTATGGTGGCTCTTAGCACTTGGAAGCAGAGGTAGGCAGATTTCTGAACTCCAGGACAGTCTGTTCTACAGAGTGACATCCAGGATTATACAGAGAAACCTTGCCTTGAAAGACCAAAGCAAACATTTCAACAGGGAAAACATCAGTTCCTACAAACACCATGTTCAGCATTTGGAGCCTGTAATACAATCAGCTGGGCTTCTGAAACCCTGTTCATCTAGCTTGTCTACAGCACATGACTGATAGCTCTTGGACAAGCTGCATTCTGTATCTGCAGCTTTCCTTGGTTTATGTCCCATGGTTTTAATAACTCTGACATCCTGGTGTCTCTACAGCAGCTTGGAGTTTATCTTCACACACGGAACCTCACAATGATCTTCCCTCCTCAGTTAAACCTGTCTGGAAATGCCCTCAGAGATATTCCCAAGGTGTGTTCCAAGTAGATAGACACCATTAGCCATTGTCTTAGAGTTACTATTGCTGTGAAAAGGGTTATTTGGATTACACATTCATGTTGTAGTCTATCACTGGAGGAAGTAAGGATTGGAGCTCAAGCAGGACAGAAACCTGGAGACAGGAGCTGATACAGAGGCCATGCAGTGGTACTGCTTACTGGCTTGCTCCCGTATAGGCTCAGCCTGCATTTCTATAGAAACCAAGACACCAACTTAAGGATGGAACCACCAACAATAGGCTGGGCCCTCCTCCATCAATCACTATTTAATAAAATGTCCCACAGGCTGCCTACAGCCTGATCTAATGGAGGCGCTTTCTCAGCTGAAGCTCCCTCCTCTCTGATAACTATACTTTGTGTCAAATTGGCACAAAAATAGCCAGCAAAGCCACCATAATCTCATTTCATCCATCTCACTCAGGTTTCACAGCAGTCCTACTCATCATCTAAATGCCTTTCTTATGTCTGTGGAATTTTTGTTCTGTAGGTTCTTCTTCCTGTCTTAAAGTCCTTTCTTTTTATCACCTGTTCCTTCATCTAGATTCTAGACAGGCTGAAGTCTGCAATGTACACATAGAAAATCTATGTCTATTCTTGCAATGTCTACAACCACAGCCCTCTCCCTCACGACAGTTGTCATTTGTGCTATTTGCTAGGACCTTGTTCATATAACTGTAACGACTCACAAAAATAACAAAAATTGAATTTGCTAGTAATCCTTACTTTATTTTTTTAATTATCTATTTTTATTCCATGCGCATTGGTGTTTTGCCTGCTTGCGTATGTGTGTGAGGGTGCCAGAGCCTATGGAACTGGAGTTAAAAACAGTTGTGAGCTGCCATGTGGGTGCTTGAACCCAGGTCCTCTGAAGGAACACCCAGTGCTTAGCCACTGGGCCATCGCTCCAGTACTGTAACCCTTACTTCAGTAAATGCAAAGCTAATACTTGGAGAAAAGAGCTTACGCAGCTCGGCCAGGTGGAACTAGGCTTGAACACATTTTACACTGAGTTTTTAAACACCTCTCACATTGATTCTACCAATTCTCACATTGATTCTACCAATTTAATTCTCACTCTTGATTAAAATTCTGAGTCTTACTGACCGTGATATTTCTTGGCACATACCTCATTCCCTACCTCTCTGTCCCTGACCTTTGCTCTAGTCTCTGGTAGGGGCTACAGTGAGCACCTCATTGTCTGTCTTGCTTAATACAACAAAGAATTTGGTTTGCCATTGACCATCCATTTCCCCGGACACCACTCTCTGGTTACCTTCTTCTCTCTTGCTATTAATAACTAGACTCTTCTAGATGGTCATCTGTCTTATTTAGAGTTGCTGTTGCTGAGACGAAACACCACGGTCAAAAGCAAGTTGGGGAGGAAAGGGTTTATTTGGCTTATCATTCCACAGCACAGTCCATTGTTAAAGGAATCCAGGACAGGAATTCAAACACGGCAGGAACCTGAAGGCAGGGGCTAATGCAGAGATCATTGGGGAATGGTGCTTAAGCTTCAGCACGGCTTCCTCAGCCTGCTTTCTTGTGGAACCCAGGACTAGCTGCTCAGGGATGACACCACCTGCAATGAGCTGGGCCTTTCTCCATCAGCTGCCAATTAAGAAAATGCCCTGCAGGCTTGCCTACAGCTCAATCTTATGAAGGCTATTTTTTAAATTGAGGTTCCTTCTTTAAAAAAAAAAAAGATTTATTTTATTTTATTTTATTTTATTTTATTTTATTTTATTTATTTTATTTTATTTATACAGTGTTCTGCCTGCATGTGCTCCTGCATGCCAGAAAAGGGCACCAAATCTCACTGTAGGGTTGGGAGCCACCATGTTGGTGCTGGGAATTGAACTCAGGACCTCTGGAAGAGCAGCCAGTGCTCTGAACCTCTGAGTTATCTCTCCAGTCCGAGGTTCCTTCTTTTGAGATGACTTTAGCTTGTGTCAGGTTGACACAACTGTCCAGTACATCATCTGTTTTTCCTTTATGAACTTTCTATATCAGATCACTTTCCAGTGTTAGCACCTTATGGTCCTGCTATGACAAAACCCTGTACACTAGTGTGCAGGGGAGGTCTAAACAGCAAATACTTATTTCTCATAGTTGTAGAGGCTGAGAAGTCCAAGATCAATGTGACCTTGAAAAGTTTGTGTCTGGAAAGGGATTTCTTCCTGGTTTACAGTCTGATGCATTATTGAGGCATCCTCCCAGAGCTGAAGTTCTTAACTCTTCCTGTTTGTTTGTTTAAGATAGGGTCTCTCTACATACTCCAGTCTCTTGAAGAGCTCACACTGTAGATCAGGCTGGTCTTGAACTCACAGAGGTCTATGTGCCTGCCTCTGCCTCCCAGAGGGCTGGGTTTAAAGGTGTGTTCCCCCAAGCCTCTTCCTGTTTTTGTAAGGGCAGTAATTTCTGGCGAGGGACGCCTCGTCCCCATTAGCTCCTCTAAGCCCAGTCATCTCCCCAAACTCTCACCTCAGAATACATTAGAGTTTAGGGCTTCAGCATGCAGAGCTGGGGGGTAGGGGCATTGCACATGTATGTAATCCCTAACTCTTTGTGCTGACTTGAACTCCTTGCTCTCACAGGTTACCCGTGTCATGCAGCTGACCATTGCACCACTGAAATCCTGAGCACAGTGCTCTCTGACTCTCTTGCTCTTCGAACTCTCCATACATGTAGATTTTGTCCCATTTTCTTGCAGACTGATGGCCCTTGTTTGGCTTTCCTCCCTGCCCTAAGGCAGCCTAGATATACTGACCTCAGGCTCAGTAATTCCCTCCTTTCCTCTCCTGCATCTTTCACAGATGCTGTGCCAATCAGGACCAGTTGTCAGTCCTGTCCATTCTGACACACAGGCTGCAGAACATGACAGGGGTGTCCACGGTTAGGAGGAGGAGGAAAGGGTCAGTCCCTTCCCAGCTCATCACAGACATTTCCCAGTGCTCTCCAACAACTACGCCCCACCCCAGCTCCCCTTCCCTGTGAGCAGGAGACCTTTGTGTGATCCACAGTACAAGGAGAATAGCTTTCCAGACACAAGCTCCTTCACTCACTCACCAACTCACAGATTGTTTCCAGGAGGCTGTCTGCTTCCCCTGTCAGGTCGCTTCGTGCACTCACCTTGAGAAAGCACCTGCCCTCAGCTTCACTCTAGGAAACAGGGTGGGGCCAGCAACCTGTTGTAGTGATTTAAGGTGCTTTAACAGGACAGAGGGACACCAGTCTCATACTCTGGAGAACGTCCTACACACAGTCTTTGTATCCCACTGGACTACAAGGGTGATAGATTTTGATACTTTTGTTCTGTGGTGACTGCTTTCCAGGCCATCTTGAGCTACAGGACAAACAGTATCAAAATCAAAACCTAAGAGTCCTAAAAATGACCACCAAGTCTTTATTATTTTGTCCTATTCCAAACTGCAGTTTGAGGCAGTCATTGCATAGTAACTAAAACATCCCATTTTCTTAATGCACCCACTATTAAAATACAATTCATTCAACTAAAATATAAATACACCCACTATGAAAGCACAGTTCTCCTCTGGGGCTGCTTGGCCTTTGTTCAGTGCTTACTCTGGACACTTGGCTTCCATCTCACAGCCATGAAGGTACCGTGCTGCTCCCCACCCCACAGAGGAAGAAACGGAATCCTGGGCTTGCAAACCCTGAGGCTTATGCTCACAAGTTGGTAAGAACCAGGGCTGAGTTGAAATGCAAACCCAGGTAACCTAACCAAGCTCTTTTATTCATTATGGAACAGCTGAAAAGTTTCTAAAGATGCCTGACGAAGGGACTCTAGCCCACTCAAGAGCATGCCTCTGGCAGGCCTGGCCCTTCTCCCCCATTCGCTCTGCCTTCCTGAAAACCATCAGATAACATTCCTAAAGCTAGCCACCACCGTCTTCTCCCCTATGTGCCTACTTCTTTCTCCTGAGGCTGATTACCAAGATCCTGCTAGCAAAGTGATAAAGTCAAAAGCCCCCATGCTCACCTAAGTATCATACGCAAACAAAATTAAAAACCTCACCCTAACACATGGTTTCTCCCTTGACCTTTATAACTGCCACTCGTCTATGGGCCACATCTGTCTCCTCTCCATCCAGAATCAGTCCTTTATCTCTTGCCCCTTGCTTGACAAATATCTCTTCCTCTTCTCCCTAGTCCTGTCTCCTGTCTTGTCTCTTATTTCCTGCCCTCTCTCTCTCTAGGGCAAATAAATCTCCTTTGTGCTGATAACTTGTTCTTGGGTTCTTGGAATTGTACTCTGTTCCTTTTCATTTAAAAGAAAAAAAAAAAAAAAAAAAAAAAAACAGCAAACAAAAAAACCCAACTCTAAACCAGGGAAAATCAGGGCAGCCTGGAGGGACAACCTATAGTGAGGTAGCAGCTGAAAGCTAGAGAGCCAGCTGCCCTTTGGGGTCTTCCAAGGTGCCTTCTGCATTGCAAAACTGACCGGCTGGGAATCAGGCTTGCTTCAGTATCACCACCTACTGTGGCTGGAGCCCGGGGATAGCTCCCCTCCAACCAGCCCTCCATCTGGCGCTCTACTGCATTAACGGCCTGCAGCGCCCTTTCCCAGAGCACCGTACACACTGACGGCAAGGCCCAGGGACAGCCCATGCGCGCATGTGCTCCTGCCACACTCTCCTCCATTTTCTGTCAAACATTGTCTGCGCATGCCTGTGTTTAACTCTCTCCTAACGTCAGTCTCCCACCAAGGCTCTCTCCCCAGCGGCTTCCCGTGGCCCTGAGCCGTGCTGTGTTGTCCCTCCCTCAGGCACTGGCTGATAAAATCGGGGTAGGCTGCTGCCTGGTGCGTGGTGAGTACAGCCGAGGGTGGAACGAAGTGACACTGCTGAACGAGGCTCGGAAGGGCCTGATAGGGAACCTGCCGCCGCCCGAAGAATACATCGTGGACCTCATGTTCCACCCGGGGACCCTGATGAAGCTGCGCAGCAGAGAGGCCGACCTCTACCGCTTTCTGTAGTCACCAGAGGAACGCAGGAGCACCCAAACCAGAAATTGTCTCTGCGTGCTTTCTAAGACGGGCGCTGGCAGATGTCATAACTTCAAATAAAAGGATTAGAAACGGTTTGTGTGTAGACATAATCTGTGGGTGCGGCTGGGCGGTGCTCAGGTTCCAGGCTGTGGGGTCTACCAGGACCTCACCTGCTCTCCACCCCGCACGAGGTTACTGTGGGTGAGACCAGCTCAGGCGTCTTGGAGCTCAGAAATCAGCAACGAAGGCCAGCAGCAACTGCTTCCTGCGGTGGAATGGGACTGTCATTGTCCCTGTTTGGTATCCAGAATAAGTCAGGTAATTAGCACTTGGTTTAGATAAGCGCAGTCGATTTGTACTGTCTCAGTCACCTTGTCTGGCTTTAAGATTTAAGGGGCTCCGGTATTTCAAAGTCCTTTCTAACTTAATTGAACACTGATTAGGGACTGCAGCTTTGCCTGTGTGGTTTGAGTAAGAACGGTCCCCACAGGCCTGCAACTGGACAAGGGTTGGGGGGTGTGGCCTTTTACAGGACGCGTGCACTGGGGGTGTGCTCTGGGGTTTCCAAGGCTCAAGACAGGGCCCTCTCTCTCCCTGCTGCCCGTGGATGCATCTTCTCCAGCACCACGTCTGCCTGCTCACCGCCATGCTCCTTTCCATAACAACACTGAACTAAACCTCTGACACTGTAAGCCACCTCAACTACATGGTTTCCTTTCTAAGAGTTTCCGTGTCGTGGTGTCTCTTCACAGCAGTAGAACACGGACTAAGCAATGACGCTTGGCACACAAACATGAAGACCTGAACTCACATCCCTGGGACACACCTAAAACGCCATCACGGTGCTCCTGTGATGTCTGACCTCAACACTCCCTGCCTACATGCACACTCACGCATGCAAACACCACACACACACCCCAGCACATGTAAGTTAACACTAGGTCACCCAAAACTTGTTTTACACGAATATAACTTGAAAATTTCATCTCTGAGAAGGAAACAATCATACAGAGCAAATAGAGCAGATCTTTGATGAGAAAGTATGTTTCTAGACATGAGCTCAAAACGCCGAGGATAAATAGCCATTTCAAATGCAGATGACCACTCTTGATACAGCAACTCTCACAAAGTGTATATTTTCTAGTAAATCTTTAAGTCTGAGGCTTATCTGAATAACCATTTTCCTAGTGCGTTTTTCAATGAGATTGATTTTGAGAACTGTGGCTAACACTGTCTTTCAAAATCCAGCCCGTGGGGATAAGGTCGTGTCTCAGTAAGTGAGAGCACTTGCTTTGTAATCACGAGAACATGAGCTTGAATCTTTAACACTCAGGAAGGAAGCAAGGAGGCTGGAGCCTTGCAAGGGCTTAGAACGCATTAGCCAGGCAGCTTATGGGAACAGCTACTAGCCTCTGGTTCAGTGAAGACCTGTCTCAAAGCACTAAAGGAGACACCAAGTGTCCTGCTCTGGCCTCTGAGTGGACACACGTAGGCATATATATACCCGCACACTTGAAAACATACAACACAGCATGTATCTGAGCACACACACTCCCACAAATCTGTAATTTTAAAGCATATAATTTTTTTTAATTGAAGAATAAGCCTCTTTTTTGTGGCATGGTAAATTTTATTTATCATTCGATTTAATGGATTAGAGTATGGATTATAAGGCATGAGCCCATCTCAACATTTTTCAAGCTTGTTTTGATCCAGCAAACACTTAAGATGGATTACAAAGATTTATAAAGTGTAACAAGATGAAAATGGATGAAGAACAGAAGCACGGAAGAGAGAGAGCTTAAAGCTGGGACTGAGCCGAGCATGTAAAATTCATCCATGAAGATGAAAATCTGACTGCAATCCAGGCAGCCTCTGAAAGGGCAGCACTGTAAGCAACGGGTTCAGGGTCCACCAGCTAATAGCACAGAGGACCTTCTGAGGACAGAGACAGGGAGATTTCTCCTTATGGAGCTTCCTGAGATAATAAAATGTAACAGGAAGAAACCAGTACCCTATGTTCTGAAAAATAATTTCCTGAGCCAATGGCCAGACATGAGAGTAGAAGGAGGAAAGTTTCAGGTGGAGCCACTATGGCAGGTCCAGGTGGGCGTGGGCTCACCAAGGCACACTCTGTTGGTTTATTGCTTGCATCTTTAAGACAATTCCATGCAATGCACCTCCTAGGTTCTAGGTAGCTACTGAACAGACGTAGTTTAAATTCTATTTTCAGGTATGTCTTTGAGGCTCTAGAAGCATAGAGTTGAATATCCAGTCAATTACATAAAATAATTTGCGGTGGTAACAAAGCTTATGACAGGCCTACAAATGAACTTTAGAGGAACTATGAGAGAGATGAACTTTCCATGACACCATGGCACTTTTGTTTTGTTCGCCACACGCCATGGCGAGTGTGCCTTGTTCAGGGAGACTGGCACTCAGCACGCCCCCCGTTAACACGTGAGTTAACACGTGAGCGCTGCTTTTTCCCTTAGGATCCCACCATGCCCTTTCCGAAGTTGGCAGCAAAATCCAGCTAGAAGAATGCATGAATATCCATACTACTTTAAAATAAAACAATACAGAGGGGATTGACTTTCCATTTCCCATCATGTATCAAAACGTGTTGAAAAGCAACCAGAAGTCAACTAATATGGCACAAACATAAAAAAGAATGAAGACTGCACATGGAAACCTCTGTGTAGCGGTTGGGATTTATTAGATCAATAATAAATATTGTTATGCCACAACAAATGGCACCCAACTAATCTAAGTATCCACACCCTTTAAATCATACTTTATCATAAACTCTCATTGCTGCAACCCAAACTTAAAACCTAAAAACTCCCAGGTCAATTACTGTCTCTTTGAGAGACTCTTAAATCGGCCCAGGAGTTTACTGTGAGCAGACCTGAGACTTAACAAAACTGGCCACAGTCTAACAGGATGGAAGAAACAATAAAACAGATTTCTTGGAGCTTGGCTGATAATCTAGTCTACGGTTTTAAGACAGAAATAAAGGAAAGTTTAGAAACTATGACTATGGTTACATTCATAGTCCTCAATTTAACTTTAATCATTGGATTAGCCTTTTATTTCTTCTCAAAGACAAAGGCTTTAGGAAAGGTATTGAAACAATACAAAGAACACGTAAAACAATGTGAAAAAGAAATGAAGGTTGGAAACAGGGCCTAAAACAAGAGATACAGAAACTTACAAAACAGGATGAGCAACAGGAAGATAGGACAGGGGTTTTAGAAAAGATACTGGAACAATACAAAGAACAAGTAGGACAATATAAAGAAAAAATTAAAAGTTGGAAGCGAGGCATAAAACAAGAGAAACAAGAGATTATTGAACATTACAAACAATAGAGAGATAGGAATGAAATATGGGTGCAGACCTTAAGAGTTTAGAATACTAAGTAAAGAAAATACTCAGGCAGAGGCAAAAGATAAAAAGAAAGAAAGCCTACCAAAGGTGGTTAGAAAACAAACGGCTTATCCAGTCAGTATACAGCAGAGACCAGCAGATGATGATCATCCACTGAATTATCATGAAGCTGAGTGGCGCCCTGTGAAAGTGCTAGATCTGAGGAAATTTAAGGAAAGTATCACTAATTTTGGAATGCATTCACTATTTGTAAAACAAATGCAGACTTCCTGGTCAATCAGATGTAGAGTAATTCCAAAGAACTGAGAGGGCCATATTTACAGTGGCTATCATGGTGGGGAGAAGAGGCTAGAGAGATAGCACACAAAGATAGAGCCGAAGGTGCTGGTGTTTCTCAGGAACAGCTGCCTGGTGATGGCCAGTGAACTGACACAGAGATACAAGATACATAATGAAACTTGAGCATCATGTCTCCCAGCAGCATTAAATGCCTGGGACAAGGTTGAGGAATCAGGAAAAGTTTGAGCCATTCTCCCAGGTCATACAAGGTTCAAGTGAAACATTCACTAACTTTTTGCAAAGATCGACCTCAGCTGTGGAAAGAAGTATTTCAGATCCACTAGCTAGAAAAGCACTAACAGAACCTTTAGCTTTTGAAAATGCTGATATTGAATGCAAAAAGGCAATAGGCCATTAACAGCAAGATCTGCTCCAATAGACAAATGGTTTTGAAGTACGATTGACATCAGACCTCATTCACCCAATTTGACCTTGATAGAAGCTACCCCTAAAGACCTCGGGAAATATCTTAATTGTGATAGGCAAGGTTGCTATAAAGGGAGTTACCAGCAAAACCAAAATAATTCAAAAAGTGAGCCTATGCTTCCTAGAATATGCAGAAGATGTGGCAAAGGTCGACATTGGATTAGTGAATGTAGAGCAGTCACAGATAAGTGGGGTAATCCTTTATCAAAAAACACCCAAGGGGGCCTCTCACAGGCCCCAATGCAGCTCTGGGAATAAGCATTAAAAACTCAGAGGCCAGAGCAGGTTGTATAGATAAATCAAAAAACAGGGAGGGAACAAAAAACAAATATATTGGCAAACCTCTATAAATGATCAAAGGCCAAAGTTAAAGATAATTTTAAATAATATTGAAATTGAAGGCATGGTGGATACTGGGGCTGATGTCACAGTTATCACTCTTAAATCCTGGCCCCCAAATTGGCCACTTTCAAGAGGTGGATATTCAATTCTAAGGAGTTGGAACTTTATCTAAAGTAAAACAAGTGTCAGGTGGCTTAAATGAATAGGACCAGAAGGTCAAATAGGAAAATTAAGGCCATATGTGGCTGAAATAGACATAAACTTATGGGGAAGAGATCTCTTACAACAATAGAAAATCCAGATTAACATCCCCCCAATTTCAGAGGCAAGCCAAAAAACAGGCAATACTCCTGATAAAGAAGTTAAAATTATATATATATATAATGCCATCAAAAACAGTTACAGACTGTCCAGGCTGTCCACAACAAAATACAACAGAGGCTGTCTTTTCAACTTCATGTTGGGAAGCCACTGCTAATAAAACCCCAAACCAAGTGGCTGGCAGACCAACCTATTTGGCTTGAACAATGGTTTATGAGTAAAGAAAAATTACTGGCACTAGAACAGCTAGTCCTGGAACAGTTGGA